TCAGATGCAGTCACTGTCTGGGCATTCAGACAACCGCAGGTGTCACAGCTCTCAGAATACAATAGCCAGCAGAGGAGATTCCTCCACCCGTGCTGTTTAGAATAGATGGGGTAATCAAGTGATTTTTTTCTCTGGCTGATACGTTTCTTTGCATTCAGCTGTTTGTCGGTGGTGCTGCTTTATATTGGGTTGCTTTCTTTTGCCCCAATTTTGGCCAATTATAATGAGCTACCCCATGCATCTCCAAACATTTATTTATTAATTAGTTCTCACATTAGACACGGTTACAAAGTCAATCAATATTTACTAGATACTTGAGACCCAGCGGAACAGGTGTGAACAGATCTGTATAAATGGGGTCCGTATCCATAAGTAAATCGCAAGCTGAGGGGGTGGGGCCTGCCCGAAATGAAAGGTTTTAGAAAAGTCTCCTTGAGCTGCCCATACACCTTACGATTATCGGCCGATTTCCGAATACGATCGCGTTTTTGTCCAATATTCATAAGGGTGATGGTCGGTGTATAACCACAAATACTGTACAATCGATCGAATTTTGACTTTCCAGCAGGTTTGAAAACTTCGGAGGATCGTGCGATTTTCGCAAGGTTGGTGGCGTTTCCGTACGTCAAAATTCAGACGATTTACACTGCTCATGCGCAGACAAAAATACGTGCCGTGGATTACCGCAATTCTTCCGGTTGCTTCCTTCCACTTATCACTGATTCAACCTTGCGATAATCGGGGGCAGGATGGGGCCTGCCGTACGAAAATCATACGACGGTTGGATCATCGGACGAAAAGTGTCGCCCGATGATCGCAAGGTGTGTGGGCAGCTTTACAGGGACACTGCGATGAAACAAAACCCTCGTTAGAAGGTTCTGATGGAAGCGGCGTACTCATTTCAGAGCAAGGACTCTGTCATCAGGTTTAATTCCAAGTGGCAGAACTAGTATGCAGCAACATGAAAGATTATAATATTATTGTATTATTATCTGTCATTATTTTATAATTATCTGGTATTATTTTGGTATTACCGTGTTTCCCCGAAAATAAGAAACTGTCATATTTTTTTTACCCCCAAAAAACTCACCAGGTCATATTTTCAGGGTATTTCTTATTTTTTATTTTTTGGTATGGTAAGAATGAGAATAATACTGTTGCTCTTTCTTTCTTTTGCTACTGGTCAGTATCGGTAATGCTGATCCCTTTCTTTCACAGGCGGAGTGCATCTGGTATCCCTCCGCCTGTCACAGTAACCGGCGCTATAGAGGAAGAATCGGCTAATGCGGCTCTGCTCCCTCCGCCGCCTTGCTTTCTACAGCGCCCGCTTCCTTTGCCATCAGGGACAGCGGTACCAGCGGTGCAGCAGTGGGGACAGCGCGGTAAAGTACGGTACTATTTACCGGTACACATTACAGTACCATTACATTATCAGTGCCTTCAGGGGGACAGCAGTTGGTGAAGTATGGTACTGGAGTGCTCCCTGTCACTGCGCTGGCTGGAGGGAGTGCCCTGTCATCCCCTTAATACAGTATGTCCCTGCAGGCTGATACCATCTCTCCTGCAAGTTCCCCCTCACATGCTACCACCAAACTAGGTCTTATTTTCAGGGTAGGTCTTATATTACAGGAATCTTGAAAAATAGTGCTAGGTCTTACTTTCAGGGAAACAGGGTATCTACTATTTTTATATTATTATCTATTATGACATTATCATTGTATTATTGTCTGTTCTTAGTATTTTTTTTAAATCTATTATTATTGTTATTATCTATTATTATATTATCTGTTATTATTTTACTATCTGTAATTATCATAATGTTTATTATTATTGCATTATTTTCTGTTTTTTTGTTAAGGTCAGTCTTTTAGATGCGTTTTTGACAACAACAAAAAAAAATATGTATATTTTTTTAGTTTAACATGGGCTTTCAGTGCGTTCCAGGCATTTGCATGCGTTTTTGATGCGTTTGCAGATCCAGAGCAGGTAAAATAGGGCCTGCTGCAGTTTTTTTTTACCTGCTCTGGATCTGCACACTGCCATGTGAACTGGAGCTAAAAATACCATTGGAATACATTGGACGCAGTTTTGATCCGGTCTGCAACTGCTCTGCACCTGCGCCACGCTTGGTGTGAACAAGGCCTAATAATACTAACAATAGTAATAATAAATCCAGATCCAACAAATATACATCGTCCAGTAAAGTATTTCTTTCCATTTTTGGCCAAGCACTTACAGTCATCATGTTTCCAAATAGCGCCAACTCTCTCAGCTCGGCTTCCCTGAACTTCCTGTCCAGTATAAGATCACAAGGGAGAGAGCCGTCTCCAGCGGATGTCCATCTAGTAGCTTGGAGAAGGGAGAAGGGAGAAGGGAGAAGAGGAGCAGGGTGCAGGGAAGCGGATTGTCCTGTTACGCCTGAGTGTTTGTGGAGACACACACAGCTTACTAGCACACACAAGGGTGGCTCCATAGGACCTTGCAATAGTGAGGAACCACAATAATACAGGATATCAGGTCCAGTGCTCAGGGGACCAGCTGTGGGATGCTAAAACTTTTGAACATCAAGAAGCAGCATCCATTGTAAGAGATTTCATCAGCATTTGAAATAGCTGAAAAACCTTTAGACTTTAATATCACTTTAACCCCTAACAATACACCACATGTGCAATTAAAATGTAGTGCATGACTAATGCAGGGGTAGCCAAACTGCGGCCCTCCAGCTGTGGTTGAACTACAAATCCCATGAGGCATTGCAAGATTCTCACAGCCACGACTCCCAGAGACAGATGCATCATGGGATTTGTAGGTTCAACACAGCTGGAGGGCCGGAGTTTGGCTACCCCTGGTGTATTGCGTTAGGGTAGCCCATTAAAGAAGAACTCCGGGGGAATTTTTTTTTTTTTAACCCTTGCAGTAGTGCCACCCCCCTCCACTGCAGCAGTCAAAGGATCCTTGGACCATCATGTTCTGTACAGTGGATTCGACGTGCGGACGCCTAGAGACATCCCATCACTGCAGGGGAGGGAGGGACAGGCTGGAGGGAGCGCTGTGACAGCTGGCCGCCTCTGGGGTTTAGGTGAGTATAACTTTTTTTTTTATTCGAGCACTTAACCCTCGCAGTGCTGGGGTAGCCCCACTGCAAGGGTTCTTCTTTTAAATCAAAATGCAAAAATAAGACGTTCCACAAAATTATTAAAGGAGAACTATGGGGTCAGTGTTTTTCCCCATAGTTCTCCTTAGGGTAACGGGAGGACACAAACTAGCGTCCTCCCGTTATCCTAAGCTCAGTATACCGCTAGCTACAGCTCGCGGTATACTGAGACGCCGCAGCCGGAGCGGATCCCGACGTAGATGACGGGATCCGCCCAGCTGCGTAAGAGACAGCTGGCTCTGCCTATCTAGAGGCAGAGCCAGCTGTCCCCGCCCCGTCCGTTTCGCCAGTCAGCGCTGGCAGATCGGAGCGGGGAGAGGGGAATCCAGCCCTCCCCGTCACGGCAGAGAGCCGTGACAGGATCGAGAGGCGAGCGAACATGGTATGTGTTTGCTCACCTCCCGATCTATTGAGCCGACCTGTGATGGTCTCATTGTCACAGGTCGGCTAGAACTATGAGGTGAGTGGAAATCACTCACCTCATAGTTCTCCTTTAAAACACACGATTAACACATGTGCACTGCTTTAGGAGCAATAATGGATTTCCATAAAATCTGGAATTAGACTGTTATGAGTGACCCGTACCCCATCAGATGGAACAAAGGGCCCATTTACATCTGTGCACTGCAGGAGGGCACATTACCTGCTTTGCAGTGTCATTCATTTCGAATGGCACTTCAACGCATGTAGTTCACCCTCCCATAGTGCATAGATGTGAATGGGCCCTTTGTTCCATCTGATGGAGTACGGGTCACTCATAACAGTCTAATTCCAGATTTTATGGGAATCCATTATAGCCGTATAAAGATTCAATCAGGTGTATGTTATAAAGCACTAAACATGTAAGTTGCGGAAAAATTCAGTTCGGTTATTTCAGAATTCAATCCTGAAATTCAATTCGGTTCGGATGATTTTGTCAGTTTCGGATAAGATCGCGAATACCACAGCTAACCATATACAAATATTAATACTAAAGCTGAATCTCCTAGACCCGAATGGCATTTAGGATCTGAATTTGTGAATTGCATCCTGGAGCTCCAGAATGCCATTCTGGTCTGGGAGCCATATACATATATTACGAAAGCTGAGGCTCCCAGACCCGAATGGCAATCGGGTCTAGGAGCCTGAGCTTTAGTATTATATGTATATACTGAACACAAATTTTCGCCATGGCATGTAACTGTTCTGGCAAACCAGATGCCTCCCATGTTGCCGTAACGAAAATTCGTGTTCAGACCCATTAAACCGAAAAACACATCTGATTGGCCAGAAAAGTCACATGCTTGGTTCAGTTTAATTTTTATACGGAAATTCGGATACAGACACATTCGGATGCATTGGGATTCGGAAATTCGGACGTGTCCGGATATCCAAATTGCAGAAAATTTGTCAGAAACTTGATCAGAACTAAACGAATCGCACATGTCTATAAAGCACAGTGCAGTTGGTAACAAGTCTTCGACAAAAGGCTTATTCCGAGTGGTTATTTGTTACTGCCTTAGCACTAGTGCAACACATAGACAAGGCAACGTGCACATGCCCGTTGGCGTGAATGGGCCCCTAATAAAAGTAACTATGGTTGTCCCCAGCATATGTGACACTTACATCCAACACTTTGACATTTCCCAATCAATCTACAGCCGCACCTATAACTGCATTGATTCGTCAACGTGGCCAGCGGCGCCTTGGCTTTGCGACAAGTCTCAAAACCATGGACGCAAAGTCTACTGCATCCAAAAAGGATGCCCCCCGGGGTGAAAAGGCACAGGCGGCGAGGGGGTTAAACGGCACGTCGTGCAGGCTTTGGCATGCGCAGAATTTTTGACACAACTTGGTAGCCACTTACCCGATGTATGGGTGACTCATGTTGGAGGTTGGCGTCTGGTCTTACGTTGAAGCATGCAAAGAGAAGAGGTACCAAAAAGCTTCTGTGTGCAAAAAATGTAAAAACAGCAGCTTGGTTCCAGCTGTGATCGCACGCTGAGGATTCCCCTATATGCCAGCCTGGTCTCCCGTCCTGTCCCTGTACTAGTTGCTAGGGTGAGACAGATAATGATGCTTGTGCACAAGGTAGGCAGGAAATTGCGGAGCCAATGGCGTTGAAAGCCAGCCTCTTGCTTCAATCAGCAGTCACTCCCCCAGCACAGGGGCTGACACTGCTGCTGCTATTGCTTGTGTCACTGATATATGCTTGCTGTTCCCTAGGAGCTGGTTTGTCATTCACAACAATGCAATGCTAACAAACAGCAAAAAAAGCTGGTCAGAGCTGCCTGTACTGGGGATACTCATATCAGCAACTTGATCTAGATACGAAGCTTTTAAGTAAATCACAAGATCATGATTGACAGGTCTGTCACTGGCTACCCACAATATACAGTATGTGGCCAAAAGTATGAGGACACCTGACCATTACACCTACACAATACAACCAAAAGCCTGATCACACCTACACTATAAAGCCAAAAGTATGAGGACACCTGACCATCACAACTATACTATACAGCCAAAAGTATGAGGACACCTGGCCATCACACCTACACTATAGAACCACAAGTATGAGGACACCTGACCATCACACCTACACTACAGAACCACAAGTATGAGGACACCTGACCATCACACCTACACTATTGAACCACAAGTATGAGGACACCTGATCATCACACCTATAGAACCACAAGTATGAGGACACTTGTAAATCTTGCCTACACTATACAGCCAAAAGTATGGAGGACACCTGACCATCACACCTACACCATATGGCCAAAAGTATGTGGATGCCCCTTTAAGATGACTGAGCTCAGGTGTTTCCAGTGAAAGGTAACATTAAAGTGCATCTAAACCTAAAAACAAAGTATTGCAGCTCATTGGTCCTTAGATGTGGTGACTGGCTTATTTTTCTTATTTCAGGGTTTTTCATTTTTTTCCCCTTTATTTTGAATTGGTGATCCTGTAAATAATACATTTCCTTTGCTGGTGTGACAATGCTCACATGTCCTTTTGTGTTAGGGCAACAGAAAACAAGATTGGAAAATGACCTCACCCTTTTCCTATTGTCCATACCATAGAGCAGGGATGGCCAAACTGCGGCCCTCCAGCTGTGGTGGAACTACAAATCCCAAGAGGCATTGCAAGATTCTCACAGCCACAGACATCACTCCCGGAGAGAGATGCTTCATGGGATTTATAGTTTCATCACAGCTGGAGGGCCGGAGTTTGGCCACCCCTGCCATAGAGGGACACAGTTCTGTAGTCAGCAGAGCTAAATAAGAATAAATGTAATTGATACAAAAAGTTACTAGCTACATTGTAACTGATATTTGTATGATTAAAGCTGAACTCCGGCCTTCCCTTCGGTTTTGCAGTTGTGCCGGCTCCTCTCCTGGACTGAACTTACTTTGATTTAATTTAACACACTGTGAGCTTCTCACAATGTGCGATAGAAGCTGCAGAAAGTCAGATACAGCCCACCTCATTTCCTGGCTGGAGAACATCCAGCAATATCAAGCTCATACCTCCCCAGACCTAGTGTTCCTGGCCCACCTTTCATTCCAGTTCTTCCAATCATTGATGCTCAACATCACATGTGGGTGTTACCTAGAGTGGTCTGCATGTAAATGCAGCCTGCCTAGGAATGCCCACTCCTCCAAACTGATATCCAGCCATCAACGCATTTTAATATTTGCATAACTCCTGCCAAGAGCCAGCCCACTGCTAGCACCAGGGATGGGGACTCTCAAAAGGGTTCAAGAGGCAAGGTGCTGTGATATGTTCAGGAAGCTCTATGCAGCTCCCTGGTGGCTCCGTTCACCAGTCACGATCTGCCTGCATTACATAGAGAAGTACAGAGACTCAGTGATGACATCTCCTAAAAAGGGACAAACTATCTCTCAGTACAATACAGACATGTAATAACCTTTAGTTTTGGATCCTCACACCCATCTTTGGGTGTCTTCACGCCTCTTGTTGCATTTGCATAATAACCCTTCAGAAGAATAGCTTAATATATCTAGGGGCACCAAGCAACTTTGCATATATTGTAGTCCATACCTTTTTTTTCCCCCTGTGCCTTGAGAGCCGTCATCACAGGCCCATGCCAGTGCAAACATTGGTTTGTCTGTGTCTGCACTGCACAGACCACAAACTACAAGCATGGAGCCCTTGCATACTTTTGGCTGCAGTGTCATGCATAGACTGGGACTGAGAACACAAGGATTTCAGGGACCTCACCAAATTTGATTTCCGTTTTCTACAATTAGCTGTCTGATATCACAGGTTATGATGTCATTGGGATGGGTGGTAACGGGGGTAAAGCAGCACTTGGGTGAACTCTGTTTGCACCAAGCCCCATTCTGCAGTATCGCCACTCTTCATCCTGAAAGCCAAAAGAATAAGCCACATCGCTTTAGAGCCAAAATGTCATTTATTGCCAAATGATCCTGAAAAATTTCAAGCGTGCAAACAGAATAAATGAAGTACTGAACCCTCCCGCATTAAGTATTTTCCCCTTTTGCTCCGTGTTACTATTAACAATTTCCAGGCTTATGAACAACTTTGTCCCAAAGATTTAAATTTGCCTGCTTAAAATTTGTCCAGCCCGTTCTGTCCTTGCAGCACTTCCCCAAACTTTCTGATCGGAGATTGTACACTGTATACAGATGACCTCCTGCATCAGGACTACATGTACCATGATCTTACACCCAGCACCACTCTGTAGGAGCTCCAGCTGTTACTTGCTCCCCCAAACCTTTGCAGTGCCGAGGCAGAAGCGGCAAATCAGGGTGGCTATGATGGGACTCAAAGGAGTCCCTGCATGGCAGTGTAGCACCATGTGTGTGGAAGTAACAGGGGCATGTATGTTGCAGGGTTTTTCTGCATAGGCAAAGGGGACAGTAACAGAAGTTCATGAGCTATGATGTATATATAAAATTTGTTAACGAGGGCTCAGTAACACTTTACCTTCAATACATAAGTGGCAATTGTCCTTTTCTCAATACAGATAAATCAGTTTACAAAATTATTGCAATTCTTTGCTCTGCAGGTGAAAGTTCAGCTTAGATGACAAAGATCATCTTTCCGGTGGCTCCGCTGCTCTGTATGATGTCTTCATGAGCTTGGGAGGCTTTCTCCAGGGGGTATTCAGGCCCGATGAGAGGTTTGACCCATCCGGCTTCCATCCCTCCAAAGAGGGCTGCACCAGCCTCCTTCCCGGCTTCCTGAATCCCCAGAAAAAAAAAAAAAAACACAAAAGCTTTTGTACAAGCAATTTTACAGCCTTCTAGAAAAACTATTTTTGGTATAAAAAAAAAAAATATATTAGGGAGGCACCAAAATTTCGGCCGCCAAAAACTTTCAGCTAAAAATGGTACTATGGGCTAGAGCTGCAGCTAATGATTATTTTCAAAATCGGTTAGCCGATTATTAAGTTCGATTAAATCGGTTAATCGGATAAACAAAAACATTTTAAAAAATGGCTCCAGACCCTGCTCCTCCTTACTACATCTCCCCGCGTCCCTTTGCCGATCGTGGGTGGGCGGTGAGTGTGAGACGGGGAGGAGGTGCGGCATGAAGAGCGTGGATGCGGGCGGGTCTGGCAGCGGCGAGTGAGGTGGGGAGGAGGTGCGGCGCGCAGCGTGTGTGGAGTCGTGAACAGGACCAACTGATCGGAAGCCGATTAATCGATTGAAAAAGTTGACAACTTTTTCAATAATCGATTATGTCGATTAGTTGTTGCAGCCCTACTATGGGCAAAAAGCAGATAGTACCAAAAAGGCTGAAAGTGCAGTGCATCCCTGTCAGCTGTCACAGGAGGCCAAGCTCTCCTCCCGTACCACCCTGCTAGGCCTCCAGTGACAGGCGAGTGAGGATAGTGCGCAGGTACAAGCACTCGGTAATCAGTACCGATCGCTGAGTGTTTGTAAATAACTGAGGACATAGTGAGCTTACCATGTCCCCAGTTATGAATGAACAGGAAGTGCTCTACATCACTTCCTATTCATTTATGATTGTGGACATAGTAACTGATACTATCTCCATAGTTTATGAATGAATAGAGGCTTCATGTTCATTCATAACAGGGGCTGCAGAAATTTAGGATTCTGTGTCCTGACTGTGAAAAAGTGGCTAGGAGTTGGGCCCCTTTTCACACGGGCTAATCAGGAGGGGATCCATGCACAGATCCCCTCCTGATAGCAGCAGTTTGGACTGGATGTCACCGCTGAGACATCCAGGTCCATCCAGTTTTTTTCCTCCATCTTGGGATGAAGGAAAGAACTAATACTGCCAGACGCCATATTGGTCTATGGGGAGTCTGGCATGATCAGGTCCAGTGAAATAGTACTGTTTGTTTTCCCAGACCTGGCTGGAGTCGGGGGAGGGGAAACCGGGTGTAAACGGACCACTGCGAAAATCTACTGATGTATGGCCGGCTTAAATCAATTACCTTAGTGGAGCTGAAGAGTGACACTCCAATGATGCTGGACTCCTTGGCCATGGTGTCCCTGGGGTTAATTTCAATAGGTCCTCTGCAGCCAACAATCTGGTGTAAAAAGAACAGAGTACAGCACTATTCACATTTATGTATATAACCATTTTAATTTCCCGTCCTTTGACACCAATAGTAAAACTCAGACTGATATCACTTCTTGTATTCCGATATAAGCATATCTAGGGCTTGTTCCTTAAAGTGATTCTCTACACATTCCTTTTGGCCTGTGAGGCAGCGCATTATAGGGACAGACCAATAGCAATGTTTGGGGGTAGGAGGGAGTGAGTGAACTCCACCACTACCTGGAAGTCCTGGACCTTTGCACATGTAGATTGGCCTGGGATTTGGGGGTCATACTAAAAAAAAAAAACCAATATCTTAAATCAGAGGTGCCTTGAAATGGCAGTGTGTCTTTGCATGTATTTGACAAATTGTA